AATTAGCTTTAAATCATAAAAATTAAATGAAATATCACGATCTGTACCTACTCAGTTCGTGATATTTTAATTACAGGATTAGCTATATAAAACACAATTATAGAATCTATCTATCTATATATATTTTAGGTTAAAAAGAATTTTTCAATTTTTTAAATAATAAAACATATTATATTCTATTATTCAAATATTTACTATTTATTCATCATTTTTTCACCAATTGCTTATTATCATTAGGGTATTATTTTTAAGATAACTAATTTTTTTGATTTAAGACATTTGCTTTTTACTTTTAACTTTTATGATACATTCATTTGGTAAAAACTTTTATTATAAATTAGTGTAAATTTCAAATAAATATTAAATAAAATAGATTTTTAAATTAATGAATAAAAGAGCATTAGCATAATAAATAAATAAGATAAATAAAAATAAATCAAATAAAATTAAAAATCATTATTGTTTAAATTAGTTTTTATAATTAAAAGTGTCACAATCCAAAACAAATAAACTCTTTTTACTTAAGTTTAAGTGTCAAATTTAAGAGATTAGTGCAATTTGCTATAGCATAAACTAAGCCTGATGCTCCGATTGCACCTATTTAATTGTCACTTTTTAAATATTGGTATAAAAATATATAATTAATTAATTAATTAGAAAAAAAATGAAGAAAAAATAATAAGATTAATTAATAATAAAAGCAAAAGTTGAAAATAAAATAATGAGTAAAATTAGCAAAGAAAGAAGAAATAGTAAACAAGCACAATAATAAGAAAAAGAAAAAAGAGCTTTTTTGTTTTAAATTAGTTTTTATATTTAAAAATATCATATTCCAAAACTAAACTGTTTTTACTAAAGGTCAAGTGTCAAATTTGAGAGATTAATGCATTTTGCTAAACCAGAACCTAAGCTTGATGCACCTTAGTCACCAATTTAATTGACACTTTTTTAATATTGAAGAAAAAATATATAATTAAAAAAAAATTTTCACTAAAAACAAAATCAAGGAAAATAAAAAAGTAAATTTTTAAATCAAGCACAATAATAAGAGAAAGAAAAAAGAGCTTTTTATTTTAAATTAGTTTTTATATTTAAAAATATTACAAACCAAAACAAATAAACTGCTTTTACGTAAGGATAAGAGTTAAATTTGAGAGATTAATGCAATTTACTAAAGCAGAACCTAATCCTGATGCACCCATATCACCAATTTAATTGTCACTTTTTAAATATTGAAGAAAAATATTAATTAATTAAATAGTTAATTAAAAGGTAAAAATGAAGAAAAAATATGAAATAATAATAATAATAGCAAAAGTCGAATATAAAATAATGACTTAAATTAAAAAATAAAGAAGTAAAAAAAGCAAGCACAATAAAAAGGAAAAAAAATAGAGCTTTATTGTTTTAAATTAGTTTTTATATTTAAAAATATCACAATCCAAAATAAATAAACTGTTTTTACTAAAGATAAAATGCCAAATTTAAGAGATTAATGCAATTTTCTGAAGCAGAAAATAAGCCTGATGCACCTTCATCACCAATTTAATTGCCACTTTTTAATATTGAAGAAAAAACAATAAATTAAATAGTTAATTAGTAGGAAAAAATGAAAAAAAAAAAATCTGAAATAATAAGATTAATTAATAATAAAATCTAAAGTTGAAACTAAAATGATGAGTTAAATTAATAAAGAAAGAAGAAAAAATAGCAAGCACAATAAAAACAAAAAGAAAAAGAGCTTTAATTTTTTTAAATTAGTTTTTATATTTAAATATATCACAGTCCAAAACAAATAAACTATTTTTACCCAAGGTAGAGTGTCAAATTTGAGAGATTAATACAATTTGCTAAAGCAGAACCTAAATTTGATGCACCTTCATCACCAATTTAATTGTACCTTTTTAAATATTGAAGAAAATATATATAATTAAATAGTGAAAAAATATGAAATGATAAGATTAATTAATAATAAAACAAAATTGAAAATAAAATAATGAGTGAGTTAAAATAATAAAGAAAGAATAAAAAAAAGCAACCAAAATGATAAGAAAAATGATCTTTATTGTTTTAACTTAGTTTTTATATTTAAAAATAT